AATTAATTATGGATTGTAAAACTTATAATTTTTTTATCTGGTATTTCGATAGATTAATGTACAGCAGTTTTAAATATATTGATTCACGAAAATTCTCATGATTTCAATATTTTTTTATAATTATTCATAATGGAAAAATATTCTATAAAATTAAAAAAATTTATTATAAATAAAATTAAAAAATTCATTACAAATTGTTATTTTTAACACATATATTTTTTATTAGATACATCGACAGATTAATGTCTGTTTTTACAACAATGTTAAGTTAACTAATATTAACTAATATTAAGTTAAATAATATTAACTTATAAAATTCATCAACAAATGAGTCCTTTGTAATTAATTAAATTGTTGTTACATTTATCTATTAATATATGACTAAAATAATGGAACAAATTCGAAGTCAGCAAAATAAAAGATACTTTATATATATATACATATACATATACAGGGTGAGTTATTTTAATCAACGTACGCAATTATTTTGGAAACAAAGCATTTTAAAGAAAAATGTTTCAGACGAAAGTTTTATGATTTCGAGGGGGCCATAAGATGGTATCATTGGTTCGACTTTGGATAGTCATTTGAAGGTCACGTGAAGGTCACCTCAATTTTTTTAAATGGCAGCCTCTATTTTTTATTACATATTCTTATAGCTGATCTCGAGAGCTTTCCATAACCATATATTTGAAGTCTTTTAATGTAGGACTTCCTGAGATATTTTAAATTTTATATATTATAATGATATTGTTTGGTTTTAAGAAGGCTATAAAGCGGCGTCTATAATGAGACTTTAAGACTTAAAATTTAAGAAATTGATCAATCATATTTATTATTCTTCCTTAAATTCAATTGTAATTGGTCAATTTCTGAAATCTTAAGTCTTAAAGTCCTATTGTAGACGACGCATTAGACGGTACCATTGGTTTGACTTTCAAGAGCTAAAAATAAGAAGTGTTATTTAAAAATTTAAATTTTTAAATTAAAATAAATTTTTTAATGGCACTTATTTTTAACTCTTGAATGGTATCATCTTATAGTCTTATAGTCTTCTTAAAACTAGACAACTTTTGTCTGAAACATTTTTCGCTGCCGGGCTCGGTTTTCGAGATATTTGACTGACAAGAGTTATAAATATTGTAATGAAATTAAAAATATCTCAGGAAATTCTACGTTAAAAAAGGTTCAATATAGCGTTTTGGAAAGCTTTCGAGATAAGCTACAAGAATATACGTAATAAGAAATAGGAAATGCCATTTAAAAAAATTGAGATGACCTTCACGTGGCCTTCAACTGACCCTTCAAGGTCAAACCAATGGTATTATCTTATGGCCCCCTCGAAACTAAACAACTTTTGTCTGAAACTTTTTTTGTAAAATGCATAGGAATAGAAATATTTAGGATGGGATTTATATATACACGGTGAGTCATTAAAATGACTTACCGTGTATATATAGATAGGGTGTTTTGTTTTAATTTCTTCAGGCAAATATCTCGAAAAATATGGAAAAATTTAAAAAAATGTTTTAAACAAAAGTTGCATGGTTTCGAAGTGGACATATGATGGTGCCACTGATTTGACCTTAAATAATTGTATGAAAGTTATATTAAGGTTATCTTTAATTCATTTAATAGAATCCTATGTAATGAAAATAGTGGGTTCTATTTAAGAAGTCAAAGGTAACCTTAATATGACTTTCAAACAATTATCCAAAGGTAAACCAATGATACCATGTTCTCTTTGAAACTATACAACTTTTGTCTTTAAATATTTTTTCATATTTTCCATATTGTTCGAGATATTTGTCGAGGGCAATTAAAATAAAACTACACACACACACACGCACGCACGCACGCACGCACGCACGCACGCACGCACGCACGCCCGCCCGCCCGCCCGCACGCACGCACGCACGCACGCACGCACGCACGCACGCACGCACGCACGCATTCATATTATATATATTCATATTATATATATATTTATATTATTTATATAATAATTTATTATTATACATATTATTACATTTTAAAAAATAAATGTAAATATATTAATATTTATTATTGTTTTTGTTTCAGGAACTTCGGTTAAATACAAAGAGGAAAAAAGGAAGAAGAAGTGAAAAAAATTAATCAAGAATAGTATTAAGTAATTAATTATTAATTAATTAAGTAATTACGTAGTAAATAATTAAATATAGCTAAGTATTAAGTAGTTAAGTATTAAGTACGTAAGGGCCATTCTACAGTGAGATTTTAAGAAATTGGCCAATCACAGTCGAGTATTCTTTTAATATTTGACTGTGATTGGTGAATTTCTTGAGTCTTACGCTTTAAGTCTTCCTAAAATATCATTGTAAACGCCGCTTAAGTAATTAAAAGTTATTAAGTTTAAATAATTTATAATAAATTAAGTTAAAATAATTATAATTATTATATTATATTTAATTATATAATTTTATTATATTTGTATTAATTACCGAAACAGCACCGAGTCGACTATTAGTCGGCTGTCAGTCGACAAAAGGAGTCTAAAGTCGACTTCAAAGTCAGACTAAATGTCAACTTATTGTCGACTTTTAGTCGACAAATGACCCGAAAATAGTCGACTAAAAGTCAGTATATACAGTCGACTTTAAGTCGACTTCATGGTGACTAGAAGTCGACTTTATGGCGACTATAAGCCGACATTGTTTTTGAGGTTATGGCCACTAGGTCGACTTTTAGTCGGCAATAAGTCGACTTGTAATCAATTTGAAATCATCTATACATTTACTACCAAATTTTTATTCTCATAATGACATTTATCAAAAACTTAATTTTATATTTAAAATATATAATATACATTATACATTGAAAGTAATAAAATTAAATTTTTGACAAATGTCATTATGAAAATAAAAATTTGGTAGTAAATGTACAAATGTAAGTGGATATAATAAAATAGTGAAAGAGAGGACAAAAGTTATTTGTTTATAGTATTTAATGTTATTTAGAAAAAATATAAATTATTTTATGTTACATCTTAATATATATTACATAAAATACATAGTTTCGAAATAAAATTCAACGTAACATCAGGTACATATACGTACATACATCTAAATTATATACTTTAATTATGAAAAGTAATACATATATGTTTAAAACATGTTTTCTTATTTTAAACATGCTTTTTAACACAGTTTTAAACATTTTGAAAAATATTTTATAAGGCATGAACGCCAATTGTACATAGACCTAGAAGATATGTTCTAAAGACAGAAGTTATTTAACAAAAAATTTTGTTTTACTATATATATATATATATATATATATATATATATATGAAAAGATTATATATATAATCTTTTTATATATTTTTGCCTTCCATATTATTGGCAGTTTTGCATGATAGAAATTTTTATTAAATATAATAATTACATATGATAAAACATAATAACGCTTTGCAAGCAAATAATGCAGTAAGAATTTTTGAAATACATGAAGATTATATGTTCAGTTTTAAATAACAATATTTAATCATTACTACATAAAGATAATTATAAATATAATAGTACTTATATTTAAACGACTGTTTTTATTACACAAAGTACTTCTCTATTTAATGATTTTTAATAATAATATTTTACAGTATAACTAATATTTCTAATAACATATTACTATTTGCATTCAAAACAGTTTATCCATCGTATGGATTACTTTGTCTCTAGAACATATCTACGTAGCGTTTTCTCTAACAATAAATAATATTATTAGTCTCATTAATCTCGCATAAATACTTCCACTTATAACAGAGCTTACTTGGATGTACGTCAAAGAGATCTAATTATGTATAAATATATGTTTCTGAGCAATGTTGAAAGAGAAAAAATAGAATTTTAAAGACCGAAGAATAAAATATTAGAGAATATTCCTGCTTTGTAGGATATATATATGGTAAATAGAATATATATTGTTTTTAAATTATTTTTTTTAGAAAATAATAGTTATATATGCTTGTTAGAATTATAACAAGCATATATAATTATATTTAAATAAATTGCACATAACAGATTTTTTGGATGTGGAAAGTATACAAGAATTAGGTACTTATTACAATCACAAAATCGTCATACTGGTTATATCTCCTTTCGAGTTAATACAACTGCTAATGTTATACAGTTCTCTTTAAATTATATGTACTTGATATGTCATGTCTAGGATGAAAAAAGTATTGCAGTTATGGATAAGTAGTTATCAAACATCAAAGTGAAAGCAAACTTATAATAGACTTGGAAAAATTAATTGCAATGTACAAAGTAGGTACCGAAGGAGTTTGATCTGAAAATCATGTTCTCTGGATGAATTGAGACGTTGGAAAACAACAGAATTGCGAGAATTTTTATTCTACCTTGGACTCTACCTTACTTTTTTTGTTTCCAAGTCCAGTTTCGAAGATTAACTTTGGTCGTTGACCAATGCGGACTCTATCCTCTCTCGAGAACAGCCCCAGCACCCATTGATTGAAGCTCGATCAAGAGCGTCAATCAACGCGGACTCTGTTCTCGAAAGAAGACAGTCCCAGCACCCATTGATCGAAGATTAACCTTGGTCGTCGATCAATGCGGACTCTATCCTCTTTCGAGAACAGTCTCAGCACCCATTGATTGAAGCTCGATCAAGAGCGTCAATCAACGCGGACTCTGTTCTCGAAAGAAGACAGTCCCAGCACCCATTGATCGAAGATTAACCTTGGTCGTCGATCAATGCGGACTCTATCCTCTTTCGAGAACAGTCCCAGCATCCATTGATTGAAGCTTGATCAAGAGCGTCAATCAACGCGGACTCTGTTCTCGAAAGAAGACAGTCCCAGCACCCATGGATCGAAGATTAAGTTTTATTCAGTACAAAATATCAATGTTTTATGTTATATATTAATATTATATAAAATTAATAGTTTCCAAAGAAAATGACAAATTTAACATATCAGGTACATACAATATATTTACTTGTTTAAGCCTCTTTTTCTGTCGCCGGATCGTCTCAACCACTCTTGAATACATCTTTCCACTTCAATAATTGTAGTAATATCCTTTTTCTTCAAAATAATTGCTACAAACATAATAATTGGATCATGTTAAAATACATGTTAACATGACATGAAGTAGTTCTAGAAAAATTCTCATCTGAATTGTATTTAATGTTAAAAAAAAGTTTGTTTAAATACAGTTCAGTGCAACTACAAAGAATGAAGAAAAATGTTAAAATTATATACCAATTATTGTGTCAGCCAGTTTCGTTGTTTTGAATGATAATCTTTTTTTTTTGGCCTGTCCACGTGTACGCTGCCGCAACTTCATATCCGATAGTTTCCAACATTATATTTTTTACAAGTTTGGCTACGGTATCCTCGCCAAACCGCGCCATTTTTTTCATCTGTAATAAATAAAAACAATATTTTTATATATTTTTATATATTATATAATACATTTATTATTTTATTGCACAATTTCTTCAATTTATTTTTTTTTCTAAATATTAACATTAGCTTACTGTTATCATAGGCTTTAATTTGTATAATTACAATTAATTAATGTGACAAGATACTTACAAATTGTCGCCGAACATTAATATCTTCCAATCTGTTATTGAACATTTCTGTTTGTTCAACTGTAGTGAGAGGAAAATTTGGTAACAACGACACATCGTCTTGTTCTATTTCATTCCGTTATTCGTTACATTATTTTCATTTTCTAGAAAATGAATGATCCGATTGAGTTTCGGTTCAATTGTCACAAATTTGACCAAGTAATTTTTGCGGCATTTTTCTATACAACAAAAGAAATATTTAAAAGTAAATAATTAAAAATTAACCTGCAAAAATGCAACTGAAATTTGTTATTTAATATATTATATTGTGATTTTACATATATCGTTACATATATCAAACTGCGCGCCGAACAAATATTTGGTCTTGATACAATTATAGGTTGAAAACAAGAAGAATAGTACCAAGAGATTAAATTGATGATTAGATAATAATGATAACAACTATCTAATAAAACCCCTCTTATTTAAAATATTGCAAGTGAAGAATTTTGTTTCAAAAAATAACACCTCCAGTTAAAATCGTGATAATATCGCGATATTGTTCTCATTCTAGTTATAGCTTTTCGAGGATCTCAAATTTATTCGATGTGCAGTTTGATCTTGAAGATGTATATAAAATTGCATAATAAGATATTAGCGCCGAGATCCAGCTATAACCAATTGCCTTTTCTATTTTACTAAGTGTGCAAATTACTACATTCAATTATTGAATGACATTCATTATTCAATTACTGAATATATAGGGTGTATCAGAGCGACCGTAACAGCAGTTTTTTGAGGAACCTAAGCATTTGAGAGAAAAATGTTTCCTACAAAAGTTGTAGGGCTTAAAATAATCTATTTAACGATCGTATCAGTTTGACTTTGAATAGCACTGTCAAGGTCGCATAAAAAATACTTCGAATTTTTTAAATGGAAATCCCCATTTTTTATTGCATATTCTTGTAGCTTACCTCGAGAGCTTTTCAAAACACTATAATAAAATATTTTTCTCCTAAGTACTTTTCGAGTTATGAGACGAATTGATTGATGAATTGATTCATGAATTGATTCGAAAAAAAAATGTAATTCGCAATTAATTAAATTTTTTTTCGAAACAATTATGTGTTTTCTTTACATCAATTAATTCCTCTCATTATTTTGTACATAAAAATATTAAATAATCGAAAAATTAATATTTTATAAGATATTTTACGATTTATGTAAAATTAAGAAGTGATTTCAAGTCTCATAACTCGAAAAGTACTTAGGAGAAAAATATTTTATTATAGTGTTTTGAAAAGCTCTCGAGGTAAGCTACAAGAATATGCAATAAAAAATGGGGGTTTCCATTTAAAAAATTCAAAGTATTTTTTATGCGACCTTGACGGTGCTATTCAAAGTCAAACTGATACGATCGTTAAATAGATTATTTTAAGCCCTACAACTTTTGTACGAAACATTTTTCTCTCAAATGCTTAGGTTCCTCAAAAAACTGCTGTTACGGTCGCTCTGATACACCCTGTATAATAATTACATATAATAGTACAAAATGAAATAAAACTTACCACAACAAAATGAATGCTCCAATGTCATTGAATTATTTTCAATATTTTCTTTATTTTGTATTATATTTAATACATTAGTGTCATCATTGCTCGTGGAAGGAAGAATAATCAGTTGTGATACAATTGTTGGTCGAGCTGTTACGTTCCCTGTAATTGAAAGAAATATATCGTTTACATTATTAGCATTGCAGTGATACAAATGGAACATTATAGATAAATTATCGGATAAATTTGTGTAGAGCTTTATTTTGGCAATAAAACAAAAGAAAAGAATGAAAAGAGAAATCATTACTACAATTACAATTATTACATTACAATTAATAAATACTTAACAAAACTAGCAGAATAGGAAATAGTTCTATTATGGACTAAAGGGAGGTTTGATAAGGAAAGAAGAAAAAAGATGGGGAATCAAGATAATCTAAGGAGAAATTTATAAAGAAGGCCAAATATTGATAAGCAAAACTAAAGATTAAGGATGGTCAATTTAAAATAATAGCTAACGAGAAAGGAGGATGTTGGATGTATGTGGAAGTACATGGAAGTACATTAATAAATATAGGAAAAAGAAATAATAGATGAAAATATTCCTATAAACTGCTGGAAGTAGTTTCATAGAATTATTAAGAAAAACAAGAAAGAGGCATATTAAATCTGAAGAAAGGAAAAGAGGATTTTTCATTAAGATACAAGAGCAGCAAGAGATACGGAGGGAAGAATAGGATATTTAATAAGATTGATGATATAATAATTTGAAACCTACCTTTTACAACTTTTCGACTTTCTTGCTTCTCGTGTGTCATTTTTTGCATTTCTGAAAAGCAAGAGAAATATAAGATTTTTATTTAAATTGTTCGTATTTTTACTCAATAAACAAAAAAAATAAATGATAATAAGATATATAACAATTTATTTACGACAGTATTTATGTTTGCATATACAAAATTATTTTGATTTTTTTTTTTAAACAAAAATCTTTATTCGTACAAAAATATATTCCGTATTCAATGTATAAATATCAATGTATCTGTGTCACTATACCCATGACGACTCATCTTCGTATGAATCTAATAAGTTTACGTCTATAAAATTAGTTTCCAATATTTCATCACTGATCTCAGGTTCATTAATATCGTTGACACTTTTGGTTGGCACGTTGGTTAAAGCCTCGTCGTTTGCTTTAATAGATCCGCATACTACACATAAATATACATACATGTACAAATGTATACATTTACAACTTTCTAACTGACAATAATAGCGCTTTGGAGTACAGTGGGTTGTGGGGTATGTCACAACTAAGACTCTACGTTGCAATAAATAATAATTCTGTATTTGTTTCTTTTATAATACAATTGTTAAATGAGTATATCTGATGTGAGCGTGATGTGTCTGTACGCGAGCGAGTCAGTAGTATCGTGTTCAATCGGGTGATGTGAATTCTGTGCAAGCCGGGAACTTACTGCCTCTGGAAATTTGGATTCCGCATGCATGAACCGAGAAAGGTTTTTTATAATAGGAGAAATTTTACAAGGGATGAATTGCATAAGGAAAAACCATGTGTTTGCCAAATGTTACATGGCAATCTATAGACTCGGAGGACGGCTGCGAAACATGCAAGGGTTGTAAATTCTATTGAGGTGAAAGCGGATGCATGCATGCGGGAATTAGAAAGTTGGTAGGATTTCGGACATGTGTGGAAAATGTGCGTGTGTATGTAACACGGGCGGAGTAGGAGATAATTGTCCCTACAGTACCCCCCTGCTAGTGTTTAACGATATATAAGAATTTACGAAAATCTTCCTTGTAGCCGGTCCGGAAAGCGGACACGTCTACCTGACTTGGTTACGTGTTTGGTCGAGTTTTCTAGTGTTGATTTTAGATGTGTGTGTTTCTGTGTATCGGGTAGGTCTGTAATTACTGTGCCCTTTTCGGAAGGGCCTGGAACGTCCTCCTCGTTGTTGCCATCCTGAGAGACGACTGGATCATTGGCCATGATGTACGCTGGTTTAAGGCGGTCGATGGAAACCGTAACGTCCCGGCCGTTCATACGAACCACGAACGTCTTTTCTGCCCTTTTGATGACTTTGTACGGGCCGTCATACGGCTGTTGCAGAGGCTGTTTGAGACCATCATGGCGTACAAAGACTTCCTCCGAGGTAGCAAGGTCCTTGAAAATGAATGTCTTCCCCGTACCGTGGCGAGATATCTTCGTCGGTCTCAATTCCCTCAGATGTTGGCGTAGCTCCTTGATGAAATCTGACACGTTGTCCGCTGCGTTTTCGCGGTGGAGAGATCCTAAGAACTCGCCCGGGAGGCGTAGCGACTGTCCGTAGACCATGTCGGCTGCCGTGGCTTGCAGGTCCTCTTTCCAAGCTGAGCGGATGCCCAGCAAGACGGTGGGAAGGCTCTGTGTCCATCGGCATTGTTGTTGGCACATGATTGCTGCTTTTAGTTGACGGTGCAGCCGTTCAACCATGCCGTTGGCTGAAGGGTGGTATGCGGTTGTTCTCAGGTGAGTCATACCTAACAAGTGATTTAATTGCTTGAAAAGATACGACTCGAATTGTCTGCCTTGATCCGTGGTTATTCTCAACGGCGTGCCGAACCGAGATATTCATCCGTCGTAGAGAGCACGTGCGACAGTTGCAGCTTCTTGATCCTGCAGGGGAACAGCTTCTGGCCAGCGAGAGTATCGCTCTACCATAGTTAGGCAGTATCGGTATCCCTCAGACGGTGGCATGATTACGATATCAATATGTATATGCTCGAACCTGGCAGAAGGTGGTGCGAATGTACCGACAGGTGATGAGACATGGCGAGAGATCTTGGCGCGTTGGCATTGGATGCAGCTGCGAGCCCATTGTCTGCAATCAGCTTTGATCGACGGCCATACGTAGCGCTGGGTTACGAGCTTGACCGTCGCGTTGATTCCCGGGTGGGACAGCTGGTGCAGCGAATCGAATGCGCCTTTCCTGAACTCCTGAGGAACGAAGGGCCGCGCTGTCTGTGTTGAGACGTCGCAAAATACTGCAACGTCGGTGCCGGGGATGCGTACCTTCTTTATTAAGAGGGTGGAGTCTTCCTCTAGATATCGCTGGAGCTCTTCGTCTTGTTGTTGGGCTGCTGCCAAGGCTTCGTAATCGAGCGTATGCTCAACTTCCTCTACGCGCGACAGAGCGTCTGCTACTACGTTGTCCTCCCCGGAAACATGGCGGATATCGGTGGTGAATTGTCCGATGAAGTCCAGGTGTCTGAATTGTCGAGGTGAACATTGGGCCGTCTTCTTGTGGAACGCATAGACGAGAGGTTTGTGGTCCGTGTAAACTGTGAATGATCGTCCTTCCACGGTGTGCCTGAAATGCTTGATTGCTAGGTAAACAGCAAGTAACTCCCGATCGTAGGCTCCGTATTTTGCTTCCGCAGGACTTAGCTTCTTGGAAAAGAATTCAAGGGGTTGCCAGGCGTCTCCGATCCGTTGTTGTAGGGCTGCTCCGACTGCGTAGTCTGACGCGTCGCTGAAGATGGCGAGCGGTGCGTCGGGCTCGGGATGAGCCAGCAAGGTTGCTTGGGCTAAGCATTCCTTGCTTGCTTCAAATGCCTCTATAGTTGTTGACGTCCAGTTGACTGGCGACTTCCCTTTAACATTGCCTGACAGCAGGTTGTTAAGCGGTGCTTGCGTCTCTACAGCCTTAGGCAAGAATCTTCGATAAAAATTCAACATGCCCAAGAATTGACGTAATTTCTTCACCGTGTCGGGTCGTGGATAGGTCCGTATGGCGTCGACCTTCTCCGGTAACGGGCGCGTCCCTGCGCCGGAAACAAGGTAGCCGAGAAATTTGACTTCGGGCTGTCCGAATACGCATTTAACTGGGTTGATGACGACTCCATACTTCTTCAGCCGCTCGAACAGAATCCTCAGGTGTTTTAGATGTTCTGCTTCTGATGTTGATGCGATGAGGATGTCGTCAATGTATGCGTAGCAGAACTCCAGACCTTGCAGCACCTCGTCAATGAAGCGCTGAAAAGTCTGCGCGGCATTACGCAACCCGAAGGTCATGTACTCAAATTCGAAGAGACCGAAAGGCGTCGTGATGGCTGTCTTAGAAATGTCCTCCTCCGCGACAGGAATCTGATTGAAGGCTCGTACCAGATCGACGGTGGAAAAGACGTCTTTCCCATGAAGTGACTGGGAGAAATCCTGGATGTGTCTCACGGGATATCGGTCCGGGCAGGTTCTCGCATTAAGGGCGCGATAATCTCCGCAAGGACGCCAGTCATCGCCTTTTTTCGGCACCATGTGCAAGGGCGATGCCCAGGAGCTCTGTAACGGGCGAGCGATGCCCAGGTGCAGCATGGCCTCGAATTCCTTCTTCGCCGCCTTCAACTTCTCTGTTGAAAGTCGACGTGGCTTCTGTGCGACAGGCGGCCCTGGTGTGGTGGTGATATAATGTCTCGTCGAGTGACTTACGGCCTTGAGGGTTCCGTCCGGTCGTGTCACCTCCGGGAATTGGTGGAGGAGTTCGTGATACCGCGATGAGCCTGAAATGGTCTTAACACTCGGAATGTCACACTCAATCACCCTTCCATGAGAGGTGAGTTGAGTGGTCGCGTCCAACAGCCGCTGGTTCCTCATGTCCACCAAGAGTCCGTAGTGCACGAGGAAGTCTGCACCGATGATTGGCTTGGAGACCGCGGCGACGACAAACCTCCAGGTGAATTGCCGTCGCAGTCCAAAGTCCAGAGCTAGCGCTACTGTTCCGTATGTAGCGATTGTTGTGTCGTTAGCCGCGGAGAGCTCGTAGCTTGATTTCGTACGAGGTCCCGGTAGGCGCGAGCGTGGAAATACGCACACGTCGGCTCCCGTATCAATCAAGAATTGTAATTTGGTGGATCGATCGCTGATAAAGAGTCGGCGCGATATCGCGGGGCTGATGTCGTCGGCCGCCATTAGCGACTGCCCTGCTCGTTTTCAGGAGATCTGTCACTGTACTTGCACGGCTTTTCGCACTTTCTTGCCTTGTCGCCGTATTGCCAATGGTACCAGCATATCTCGCCAGCTGCATCAGGACGCTGGCTCCGTGATCGCGAGTGCGACCGGAAACGTGAGCGCGACGGAGAGCGTGAGCGCGATCTTCCGCAGGCTTCGCAGGATCCGCTAGTTGGCTGACGCGCTCCTTGGGTATTAACCTCGATCGCCGCGAGCCTCCGTACCATCTCCGCCATCACACGAATCAGATCGTCACCGTGTGCTCGGGCAGGCTGAGGTGCGGGGGCTGACGTCTCGGCGATGAGACCTGCCGGGCCGTACAAGTCCGCGATGGAATCCGCGATATCGGCTCGCTTATCGAGCGTGAGGTCCCGATGCGCCGCGTGGAGGGCCTGGACGTGCCTAGGCAGACGGCCCAGCCAGAGCGTCTGCAAGACGTCCTCAGGGAACTCCTTACCGGCAAGACCGCAAAGATGCCTGAGGAACTGCGACGGTTTACGATCTCCGAGAGGCTCGTTCTCCAACAGGCGACGCGTGTTCTGCTCGCGTGAAGAGCCAAGGCGCTTGATCAGCTCGGTTTTTAAGAGTTCGTACGATTGTTCTTCCCTCATAAGTATGTCGCGGACCTCCAGAGCGTACCTTTGATCGAGGGCTGTGATTACGTAGCCATATTTGGTGCTGCTCTGCGTTATTCCTGCAGCTGCGAAACCGCCCTCCAGCATCCTGAACCACAACTCCGGGTCCGCGGGTATGAATGATGGCACTTTCACTGATACCCGATCGATCGACGACGAATGTGACGGGTTCGCCGTTTCGCGGTTCGCGACACCACTACCGTTGTTGTGAGCCATATAAATTCCAAAGGGACAAGCACTACAATACACTGAGCAGATCACTCACGGTTCGCGAAAAAAAAAAAAAAAAAAAGAGATCACGTCGGGGTCACCAATTTGTGGGGTATGTCACAACTAAGACTCTACGTTGCAATAAATAATAATTCTGTATTTGTTTCTTTTATAATACAATTGTTAAATGAGTATATCTGATGTGAGCGTGATGTGTCTGTACGCGAGCGAGTCAGTAGTATCGTGTTCAATCGGGTGATGTGAACTCTGTGCAAGCCGGGAACTTACTGCCTCTGGAAATCTGGATTCCGCATACATGAACCGAGAAAGGTTTTTTATAATAGGAGAAATTTTACAAGGGATGAATTGCATAAGGAAAAACCATGTGTTTGCCAAATGTTACATGGCAATCTATAGACTCGGAGGACGGCTGCGAAACATGCAAGGGTTGTAAATTCTATTGAGGTGAAAGCGGATGCATGCATGCGGGAATTAGAAAGTTGGTAGGATTTCGGACATGTGTGGAAAATGTGCGTGTGTATGTAACACGGGCGGAGTAGGAGACAATTGTCCCTACAGGGTTTTAATCCAACTCGAGTCAGAATAATGACGCCACATGTTGGAATTATCCAATGAAAACATAAAATAGAGCATGTAACGTCATTAATCCGTCATGAACCAAGTTAGAACCCATTGCACTCGAAAGCGCTATAAGAGATTTGATCATTTATACAGTGTTCCTAAATTAAACATCAAGATGTCAAGGACATTTAGGGGAAAGATAAAAACAAAAAGTCCTGTAGAGATTTCCTCGCTTTTGCTTTGTTTTGGAAAATAGTAAAAAAGAAAAGGTGTTTAAATAATTTCTTTTTGTTTTAGTAATTTTCTTCAAAACAAAGCAAACACGAGCAAATCTCTACAGAACTTTTTGCATTAGTTTTTCGATCCGCCACACGCTCTCGAAGCCTTAACATTTAATTTGGGAATACTCTGTATGTTGTATTACATGCATACATAAATGACAAATCTAGGTTAGTAATTGTCGATGATTCATTAAGGCTCCAGAGTAGTCACTGCGGCCATCTTGAAATCGTGACGTCATAAGTGAGAAAGGACACCTCGATTTATATTGCGACTGACATCTAAATAAACATATTTGAATGAAATAAGACTACCAATCTCTTCAGCACACCTGTAAAAATGGACGGATACTAATCTTTTCCTTTGACACTTTATAAATAGCCGTAAATTGAGTCCAAAATGAAGCCTTGAAAATGCGAAAAAACACGCGATTTGACAGCTGTCGAAAGGAGAGGAAAATGTTACTTTCTAAAGTTTGTTCCTTATACAGCTTAGTATCCGTCCATTTTTACAAGTTTTCTTAATACATTGCACACCACAACACTAGCACAAAGCAAATAATTATGAAATGGGACGCAACGTAAATTGGGCTGTCATTTCTCGCTTACGAGGCCATTTTTCACGCCTTATAGTTCACCGATTTATAACAGTGAGACGCTGCATGAGAATTTTGACATGTAGGTAACGTGTGGGTAATATGTCGATACCATGTAGGTAATGTAGAAATATTTAGATGTAGACATAATGACCCTTGAAAAATGGCAAGCAAAAGAAATAGGAATAGGGAAGAATATAGGAAAGAGAGGAAAGATATTATTTATTATAATAAAAAAAATTAATATTCAAAACTTCTGTTATATATTATTTTATTAATATTATTATTTTACATATATATTATTATTATTATATATATTTTTTTAAATTTTTTATATTATATTATTTATATTATATTATTTTATTTTATATTTTTTATATTATTTTTATATTATATTTTTTTATAGTTTTTATATATTTTTATAGTTTTTAATGATAATTGAAAATGAAAACTGGCCCAGAGCCAGATTCTCGTCCTCTCCATCCTCCTCTTCCTCCTCTCCATCCTCCTCTTCCTCCTCTCCATCCTCCTCTTCCTCCTCTCCATCCTCCTCTTCCTCCTCTCCATCTTCCACCTCTCCATCCTCCTCTCCAGTCTCCTGTATCATCTCTTCTCCAGTTTCCTCTCCATCCTCCTCTCTTCGCTCTTGTTGAATAATACCTAATGAACACAGAAAACGTAGCAATTAAACAATTAAATTAAATGTACAAAATAGAAATAATTTTAAAACTTTTTATATATATTTAAAAATACATACTTTTTATTTCTTTCCTTTAATATAGTTCCTCCTCTTTTCTTCTTCTTTTCCTTCTCTTTTCTTTCATTTTCTTCGTCGTTTGCTTCTTCTTCTACACTCATCTCACTTTCTCTGTCCTCATCCTTTCTTCTTTCTTCTTTTCTTAAATCTTTTTCCAATCTGCAAATTCAATCATGTCATTTATTAAATGTTTTATTTACAGGACTTTAATTTAAAGAATACTCTAACAAAAAAAGAAAATAATCTAAAAAGAAAACAATACATGTTATATATATATATATATATATATATATATATATATATATTTATATAACATGTATTGTTTTCTGTTTAGATTCTTATATATATATATACACACACACATATACAGTGTTGTGCAAGGTATTTTATTTTCAGCACTGAGGTACAGGTACAGGTACAGGTACAGGTACTCTGGAAAAAATGTACCGAGGCAGAGGTATTTCATAATATGAAATATCTCTACCTTAGTACATTTTTTGCAGAGTATCTGTATCTGTACGTCGATACATTTTTTCCAGAGTATCTGTACCTCCCTAGTAGCAGAATGACGTCAAATGACGTCTTAATACCGTCTTAATGACATCATAGACGTCTTTAGACGTCATCTTGCTACCTGGGCTGTACGTAGGTACTGAAAATAAAGTACCTTGCACAACACTGCACATAATATATGTATGTATACAGGGTCTACCAAAAGTGTGGAAACCCCTAAATATCTCGGAAAATATACGTTTTACAGAAAAGTGTTTCCAACAAAAGTTGTAGGGTTTAAGAAGATCTATATACTGATTCTATCAGTTTGACCTTGGATGGCGTCGTCAAGGTCAGGTCAAGGTCACATTGACTTTTTTAAATGACCCCCTACATTTGATTGCATATTCTTATAGCTTAATTCAAGAGCTTTCCAAAACACTATAATAATGTTCATTTTTATTAAGTACTTTGCGAGTTATGAGGGTTGAATGATAGAGTAGCGCCGGTATTAACATTATCCAAGGTGTACTACATGGAGGTTACTCGCTCGGATTTGCATCTGTTGTGTGTGTGATCCAGCTAACTAAGGCAAGATCGGTCGTGGATCCAGTCAGCAAAAGCAAAGACCCAACCAAATTACAATCGAGCATTTAAAGACCTGGAAAGCAATCGACATAGTAAACAGTAAATAAATTTGTGGATGCTCATTTATCATAATAATTGTTCGAAATGTGTGCGTGTGCGTGCGTGCGGTGCGTGTATACAGAGATCAGGTTAGGTTGCACCAAACGATTGCAAATGTGTTTCAATGTGTTAAAGTAAATGCTGAAAGTGGCTGCCATTTACTTCCTGACAATATGCTAATCTTTGGTAGAATGTAGAAATGACTTTACGATTCGTTTCAAAAGGTATCAAAGCCATTTCATCCCTTATTCGCTGTATCAATTCGTGAATGGTTTTAGGTTTTGTTCTGTAAACCTTACTCTTCAGATATCCCCATAGATAATAATCAAGAGGAGTTAGATCTGGTGACCGAGGTGGCCAATCAAATTTTTTGGCAATTTGACTTCAGCGAAATATGAGGATATGTTGAGGAGTCGATCTTGCCTTAGTTAGCTGGATCACACACACAACAGATGCAAATCCGAGCGAGTAACCTCCATGTAGTACACCTTGGATAATGTTAATACCGGCGCTACTCTATCATTCAACCCTCATAACTCGCAAAGTACTTAATAAAAATGAACATTATTATAGTGTTTTGGAAAGCTCTTGAATTAAGCTATAAGAATATGCAATCAAATGTAGGGGGTGTCATTTAAAAAAGTCAATGTGACCTTGACCTGACCTTGACGACGCCATCCAAGGTCAAACTGATAGAATCAGTATATAGATCTTCTTAAACCCTACAACTTTTGTTGGAAACACTTTTCTGTAAAACGTATATTTTCCGAGATATTTAGGGGTTTCCACACTTTTGGTAGACCCTGTATATATACAGGGTTGGGCAAAAGTCCGGAAACGGTCAAATATCTCGAAAAGGATCAACTATAGCGAAAAATTGTAAATAGCAAAGTTGTAGGGCTTAAAAAAATGTACCTAATGATGACTAAAAATTTTACTTTGAGTGGAGGACGAAGATCATATAAAAGTCAAATTGAATTTTTTAAATGGAACTGCCTACTTTTTATTGCATATTCTTATAGCTGACCTCGAGAGCTTTCCAAAACACTATAATAAAATATTTTTCCCTCAAGCATTTATCGAGTTATGAGGCTTCAAATCATTTCTTAATTTTACATAAACCGTAAAATATCTTGTAAAATATTCACTTTTCGATTATTTTACCTTAATACTTTTATGTACAAAATAATGAGAGGAATCAATTGGTCTAAAAGAAAGTTCCGAAGAAAAAATATGTAATCGTTAATTGCAAATTACATATTTTTTCTTCGGAACAATTATGTGTTTTTTTTTTAGACCAATTGATTCCTCTCATTATTTTGTACATAAAAGTATTAAGGTAAAATAATCGAAAAGTGAATATTTTACAAGATATTTTACGGTTTATGTAAAATTAAGAAATGATTTGAAGCCTCATAACTCGATAAATGCTTGAGGGAAAAATATTTTATTATAGTGTTTTGGAAAGCTCTCGAGGTCAGCTATAAGAATATGCAATAAAAAGTAGGCAGTTCCATTTAAAAAATTCAATTTGACTTTTATATGATCTTCGTCCTCCACTCAAAGTAAAATTTTTAGTCATCATTAGGTACATTTTTTTAAGCCCTACAACTTTGCTATTTACAATTTTTCGCTATAGTTGATCCTTTTCGAGATATTTGACCGTTTCCGGACTTTTGCCCAACCCTGTATATATATATATATACAGGGTGAGTAAAAAGTCCCGGACCAGTAAAATATCTCGGAAACAAAGCATTTTCGAGACAAATGGTTTAGATAAAAGTTGTAGGGTTTGAAAAGATCTATTTACTGAACCTATCAAATTGACCTTGGATAACATCGTCAAGGTCAGGTCAAGATCACGTCGATTTTTTTAAATTGAACACCCTATATTTGATACCAGAATCTAATAGCTGGTGTTAAGAGCTTTTTAAAACACTACAATAAAGTTCATTTTGGTTAAGAACTTTTGGAGTTAGAGGACTTGGAAGGTTACAGTACCGCCGGCATACGCGCACGCATAATGGCTCTTGCACACTGAACGCGATGGGCGACGAGCGATGAGCGATATCCAATGATAGGTTTACTTTTTGAAAAAACTAGAACTTTCATTGGATATCGCTCATCGCTCGTCGCTCATTGCGTCCAGTGTGCAAGAGCTATAACATGTAGAGATCAGGACCCCGTGGTTCGTCACTCCCACAGTATTTAAAAGACTCCAAACCCTCTCTACAATGTTCTTCTGCAGGAGTTAATCATTATTATAATAGATGTTCGAATTGTTTCCCTTCTACCGCTTGACAATGTGCTAGCCTTAATTGAATAGAATATCTGACATTTCTTAACATATCAATGGTTATTAAATTCATTTCGTCAGTTATTCTTTGCTTCAATTCTTCCACGCTCGCAGGTTGTGTTTTATAAACACGCTCTTTTAAGTAGCCCCATAAAAAAAAATCAAGTGGTGTCAAATCGGGAGATCTTGGAGGCCACTCGATTGTTCCTCGTCTCCCAATCCATCTGTTCGGAAAAGTTTCGTTTAATAAATTACGTACTCTTAATCCAAAATGCGCTGGAGCTCCATCTTGCTGAAACCATACGCGATCGAAGTCATTAGGAAAGAGATTTCGAATAGCAGGAATAATTTGATAAATTAACATTGCTTCATACATTTCAGAATTAAGATTTTCATCGAAGAAAAATGGACCTATTAAATGAATTTCACTCATTCCTGCCCATACGTTAATTTTAATTACTTTTTATAAGTAATTTTAATTACTTTTTAGGATATTGAGATTTATTATCTCTCACCCAATGTGGATTTTCGGAGTTCCAATATCGGAAATTTTGACTATTAACGTTTCCATGAAGTTCGAAACTAGCTTCATCTGAAAATACAATGTTAGTTATGAAATCATTTCCACGCATCTCAATAAGCTCACAAAATTCCATTCTTCGATCAAAATCTTCATGAACCAACTCTTGGACATAATGCATTTTATACGGATGAAATTTGTGCTTCTTTAAAATATTACGCACCGATTTTTGGCAGACTTCGTTTAATGCTGCAACCTTTCTAGTGGATGTATTAGGCGTTTCAATAAAGTTCAGCAAAATATCTGCACTCTTTTCGTCATTGGTGACAGATTTAGGCCGTCCACTGCGCGAACGATCTTTCACGCTACCTGTTTCATTGAAACGCTGAACCGTTCTTATAACTGTCGATCTTGAAATTGGATCTCGCGTATTGAAAGTAATATTGAAGAGATCACATGTTTCTTGATATGACCTTTCTTTATCTCCGTACCCTTTCATTATCAAAACGTAAATACGTTCTTTTTCCGACAAAGCCGCCATTATTTAATTTTTCACAAAATTTTGCAAAAGCTAAGAAGAGAAGAAACCTTTAAGCGTAGAGCTTAGGTAGCTACCAGAAATGCCGACAAAACAGTATGTTAACAGCGTGTGCAACCCGACCAACAGCGTCTTGCCACACAGTGTATTGTTAGCAAAAGTTAAATAATAGCTAACCTCACCTCATTAACATACTGTTTTGTCGGCATTTCTGGTAGCTACCTAAGCTCTACGCTTAAAGGTTTCTTCTCTTCTTAGCTTTTGCAAAATTTTGTGAAAAATTAAATAATGGCGGCTTTGTCAGAAAAAAAACGTATTTACGTTTTGATAATGAAAGGGTACGGAGATAAAGAAAGGTCATATCAAGAAACATGTGATCTCTTCAATATTACTTTCAATACGCGAGATCCAATTTCAAGATCGACAGTTATAAGAACGGTTCAGCGTTTCAATGAAACAGGTAGCGTGAAAGATCGTTCGCGCAGTGGACGGCCTAAATCTGTCACCAATGACGAAAAGAGTGCAGATATTTTGCTGAACTTTATTGAAACGCCTAATACATCCACTAGAAAGATTGCAGCATTAAACGAAGTCTGCCAAAAATCGGTGCGTAATATTTTAAAGAAGCACAAATTTCATCCGTATAAAATGCATTATGTCCAAGAGTTGGTTCATGAAGATTTTGATCGAAGAATGGAATTTTGTGAGCTTATTGAGATGCGTGGAAATGATTTCATAACTAACATTGTATTTTCAGATGAAGCTAGTTTCGAACTTCATGGAAACGTTAATAGTCAAAATTTCCGATATTGGAACTCCGAAAATCCACATTGGGTGAGAGATAATAAATCTCAATATCCTAAAAAGGTTAACGTATGGGCAGGAATGAGTGAAATTCATTTAATAGATCCATTTTTCTTCGATGAAAATCTTAATTCTGAAATGTATGAAGCAATGTTAATTCATCAAATTATTCCTGCTATTCGAAATCTCTTTCCTAATGACTTCGATCGCGTATGGTTTCAGCAAGATGGAGCTCCAGCGCATTTTGGATTAAGAGTACGTAATTTATTAAACGAAACTTTTCCGAACAGATGGATTGGGAGACGAGGAACAATCGAGTGGCCTCCAAGATCTCCCGATTTGACACCACTTGATTTTTTTTTATGGGGCTACTTAAAAGAGCGTGTTTATAAAACACAACCTGCGAGCGTGGAAGAATTGAAGCAAAGAATAACTGACGAAATGAATTTAATAACCATTGATATGTTAAGAAATGTCAGATATTCTATTCAATTAAGGCTAGCACATTGTCAAGCGGTAGAAGGGAAACAATTCGAACATCTATTATAATAATGATTAACTCCTGCAGAAGAACATTGTAGAGAGGGTTTGGAGTCTTTTAAATACTGTGGGAGTGACGAACCACGGGGTCCTGATCTCTACATGTTATAGCTCTTGCACACTGGACGCAATGAGCGACGAGCGATGAGCGATATCCAATGAAAGTTCTAGTTTTTTCAAAAAGTAAACCTATCATTGGATATCGCTCATCGCTCGTCGCCCATCGCGTTCAGTGTGCAAGAGCCATTATGCGCGCGCGTATGCCGGCGGTACTGTAACCTTCCAAGTCCTCTAACTCCAAAAGTTCTTAACCAAAATGAACTTTATTGTAGTGTTTTAAAAAGCTCTTAACACCAGCTATTAGATTCTGGTATCAAATATAGGGTGTTCAATTTAAAAAAATCGACGTGATCTTGACCTGACCTTGACGATGTTATCCAAGGTCAATTTGATAGGTTCAGTAAATAGATCTTTTCAAACCCTACAACTTTTATCTAAACCATTTGTCTCGAAAATGCTTTGTTTCCGAGATATTTTACTGGTCCGGGACTTTTTACTCACCCTGTATATAGATGTCTGTGGTTAGCTCATTGTGGCCGGTATTCTTAGTCCGATCTTATATTTGAGATCGTCTTAAGTTCGAACTTGAAATGCTACGCAGTCATTTGATTGGTTGAATGAGGTCTTAAGTTAACCTCGGACCAGACTTAAGACAATCTTAAATATAAGATCGGACTATGAATACCAGCCTGTGAGAGCCAATCAGACAGCTATTAGGTTATGTAAAGATGGAGGGAAATATGACCACAAATAAAGGAAATGAAAAACTAAAATTTTGTCGTAATTTATCGATAAGTAGAAATAATGGAATTGCATTTTTTCTACGTTTCACTGCTGTAATAATTGCTCCATATTTATTTGTCATTACTGAAAGGATGCTAGTACGAAAACTAGTAGTGAAAAGTCCTCGTCTGGAGCCAAGCGAGCAACATAGTCAGCACACAGACATCTATATACCCAGCAAAATGTTAGCAGGTTGGCAGCAGATTGGCAGCGGCAATTCGATCAGAATCCCACACCAGAACCGTAGCCATCTGTGTCCGCATTAAGCTTTTGTTTTGGCGACAGAATCTGTAAAACATAACCTGTCGGCAGAAACCGAGCAGGATCTGTGCGTGCAATTTGATGTTATATTGTCAGCAGAAACCGAGCAGAATCTGCGCATTCAACCTGATGGTAAATTGACAGCAGAAACTGCACAAGATTTGCGCTTACTTTTATTAATGTTATATAAATGCAACAAAATTGATTATTACAAGTGCTAAATAACAATATTATCGGTCAATTAATTACAATTTTTTTCTAAAATGACATATATGTCATATGTTATATCGTAATATACATTATATCATAGTTATATCCCAGATAGCACAGAGAATTCGAAAAGAATTCTTTTTTGATCCCCGATTTATAAAATGAATTCCTTTTTCGTCCCATTTCTGTTCGAAAAGTATTCGTAAGTATTCCAAAAGACTTCACTTTTATGTCACCATTTGTGAGTTCTTTTTCAGATTCGAAAAGGATTCCTTTTTGAGTCTATAAGAATTCGCTATGAATTCAAAATAATTTTTAGCTAATACTCTAATAGAATTATAATAGAACTCTATTATTATTCATTTTCTGGGATCCGAATATGGGATAAATTAGGATTATTGGAATGCTCTAAATGCACAAAATACAATTTTGTAATGAAATGACAAAATATATTTTATTAAATGATAAATGATATTGTAACATATATTGTAACATATATTGTTATACTCGCCGGAGTGTATCAAACCAAATTTTAGAATTTGTGAAAAATCGAAGAAAAATGATGAACGCACAATCGTCTGTATATATTATATTAATCGCTTTCGCGCGGTGACGTAAATTATACACCAAATATATTCGTATCTCATACGTTCACATACATACGTACAAGAGACTTAAATATATAATATTAAATATATATAATGTATCAATCTTCCTCTTTCTTTCTAAATAAAAATACATTAAAGTCTCGTTTAAAGCTTAAAATAACGCTTAAAAATAACGTTGGTTCAATCAGGCCTAAAGTAGATATGTATATATTATGGAATTATGAAAATTTATTTCTTATTTTTTATTCGGTCGCTAGCGTGCTGCAGCCACTTCTTTATAAATATTTCTATGTCGCTTCTAGATGCATTTTTCACTTTTGAAACGGTTTCTGGAACAATTTAAAGAATTTTGTAAGTAAATATAAAATATTTTTAAAAAAGTTCAATATAGAGATTTGGTACTTTGGTCAAAATACATACTAAAAAATAAAATACTTATTACACACCGACAATAAGTTGAGAAATTAGGGTACTTTTAAATTGAATAGTTCTTCTTTGACCAGACCAGGAATACTGCACAGCCAGCTCATTCGACATTAAAAAACGCAATGTAGCTCTAGTAAATTTGCCTGGATCAGATCATGCGCACAAATAGAAAACAGATCAAAATGCACCTTTGCGACTAAGCAAATATGTAGTAGAAAAAGTCTTACCTTTCATAAAAATGGTATTATATAACAGCTCTTAGATGTAATGACTTAGATGCAATGCTCTCTTAGATGTAATGCTCTCTCTCTCTCTCTCTAGATGTAATGACAAACTGGAAATAGTATTATAACAGCTCTTCTCTTAGATGTAATGACTTTAGATGCAATGCTCTCTCTCTCTCTCTCTTTAGATGTAACGACAAACTGAAAATTCGAAAAGCGAATATTATTTTCACAAATGTAAAACATAAAAATAAACATAAAGATATGACAATTTTATGACTAATATGCATTTATATAATAATTCATGTTTTTTTATAATTCAATTTTATATTTATAATTTTGTACTTTTTTAAACTAATTAGCATATGGAGGAATGGTAAACGAACAATTATATTAGAATTTTAATGCTCAATAATATTTGATATTTAATTTAAACGCAACTTAAAACAGAATAATAATATACACAGTTAAACCTAATTGAGACTGCACGCAACAAGTAGCAAGCATCGGAGCAGTTAATGCTGTTCACCCAAAACCCAACAGTATAGGTCTGTTTTTTATTCCTGAACTGAGATGAATTGGCTGCTAGTTCAGAGTCTATATCTTTGTCTTTCTAATGTGAAGTAAAGAAGATAGACTAGTGCGGAATTTGTGCGAGCAGCATTGGCTGCTGTTCCGATGCTTGCTGCGTGCAGTCTGAAACAATATTAAGTTAACAATATTTAATTTAATGCTAACATTAATGCTATTGATGCATCTGTTATGGTCATATAATGCCAAATAAGATACTACTTTTGTATTATTTTTTTTTCCTTGAGGTTTCTTGAGTGAGAGTAATAAGACTCACTTCCGAGACCAGAGATTCGAGTGCAATGGTAATCTGAGGGTCATCAACTTCGACTTCCATCATGTTTGAGTGCAAAAAAGAGTCGTGCTACTTACTGTGAAAATCCAACGAAGATGTGCGTGATCCTTCCTCCGGGGTGATGCAATAGGAAGGAGAAAAGAAAAAGTGATCTTTTTTTAGACAATCGTACCGAGATATCAAAATAATGGACGGTGAATTCACCAATGTCCGAGCAAGCACTCGCGGAAAACTACGCGATTACGATGAAAAACACTATTAACAAGCCTAAAAAATGCGCTCATTTTAACTTTAGGAAGAACGCTCTCGAAACGCGTGTGCACGCGACCGAGGTCAAGTTCAAGATGGTCGTCAACGGCTGCATGCGTTGCGCCGAAAACGAACTCGACGGAAGGTTCGTCGTGCTGCGCGGCGCATATGCGCGATGCCGCATCAGTCAATCATCGAAACAATGAACACTGAGAATATTTACCTAAAATATTATTTCTTATTCTTATTATCAGAAAACTATTCTGCTTATGCATATTATATTGTAATAATACTAATAAATACGAAAATCAACCTATAAAAAAGTGATGCTGAAATTCTCTCTTTTTGAATCCATTACAAAATAAAAAAAGGACTTCTTTAAGTTTACGTAAATTGAATTCCAAAAGAAATCAAAAGATATATCTTTGTGGAATCCTTTTCTAACTATAAAAAAGGAATTCTATTTTAGTTCATTTTGAACAGATTATGCGAATTCGAAAGGAAATCAAGAAACTGAATTCTTTTTTAAATCAAATGGATCAGTTGTGCTATCTGGGATCTCATATAGCGAAGGACTAATTCAATTTAATTAAATTAATAAAGTAAATGATAAAAGTAAATGTAACTTGTAAAACTGGAGATGTAATTTATTTAGAATTAAATTCTTGCTTTATGCCTCAAATAGGCAGTACATGAATAATTTTCTATTTATTTATTATATTTATATTGATTCCAATCAGTTTAATATTCTGAATCTCATCTGTTCAATCGTATCAGATATCAGAAATTAAAGTGATAGAGATTAAAAATGATAATTACTATGTTTTTAGTCTTATTCATATTCGCGACTTTATATATATTTCTGACAGAAATTAGATTACAAGAAAATACAGCTCACGTAGCGGTAAGTGACTAGGAACTATCGAATCATGCAAACTCTGTTCCGTTTCTGCCGTCAATCTGCTATCAGAGATTGTGTGCGCAGATCCTGCTCGGTTTCTGCCATCAATGTGTCGTCAGTTGCATGAGCAGGCTTTACTCGATTTCTGTCGACAATTTAATATCAAATTTCATTGCGCAGATCCTGCTTGGTTTTTGTTACCAATCTGCTGTCAAAATTGCGCCGCACAGATCCTGCTCGGTTTCTGATATCAATGTGCCGTCAATTACGTACCGAGTCGTAATAAAACTTCATCGTTTGAGAACAAATGTGACGAGTAAGTTTTGTTTAACTTTTTTTATATTATAATTGTATTATTATTACTATTATTTAATTTTAATTTTTTTCTGTAGCATTTCGTTGGAGCGTCGTGCGATTCGTATACTAGGTAGACGATACGCATTGACAGCTACGGAATTCAAATTCCTCGAAATTGGTATCAATGTGGGTTCACGAGTTACGTGGAGATTGCCATAGGAGATCATCGAGGAAAGGAACTGATATTATCTCTCGAAACGTGGAAAGGACTCTACGAGCAATGTCGCAATATTCAAAATTTACTTCGGAACGACTCTAAAGATGACTACAATTTCATAAGCGTTGAACTGCTAACAGTGAGAGTTCGTACGATTAACGACGTCAAACTCATAAGTCTCGAATCTTCAGATGTACGCATGATGATGGTCGAATCGACGTTACATCGTATGTTCGATCTCGATCAATGCATAGATGTAACTTTTGATCGATTAGATAAAATTATCCAAACAGTTGATGTCAAATTTACGCAATTCTGCAATATCACGTCCACTATAACGGATCCGAGAGAAGTATCATATGTAATACGCGTGAGTGATGTTTTCAACAAGCATCAACTCGTCGATTGCTGGCAGCTTTAGCTTTTAATTCTTAATATGTAAGACAAAAAAATTATATTTGTATACTAAATATATAAACAGAATAAATAGTTATAAGTCTATATCATGATGTACTTTCTTTGCGTTTGGCGCGCTCTCCCGTCCCAGCTTTCATGCATAACTCCTTGCGAGAGAATTATCATGAGAGAGCAAACATTAGGAAAGAAAGAGACAGGAGTGATACGGCGCACGCGAGAGAAGAGATATCACGCAATGAAAATATTTTTGATAATTTAATATAATTTTTTAATAGTTTTTATAGTTTAGTAATAAATGGAAAAGAGCGGAATTTTGAAAATAAATAAGATTTTTTATATTAATTAATTTTTTAAAATTTTTTAATAAAAATAAAATGTGTATTATACAAAGTGTGTAAAAGATAATGTAAGAAAAATTTAAAAGAATTTAAAATATAAAAAATATAAATGTGTATTATACAAAGTGTGTAAAAGATAATGTAAAAAAATTTTAAAGAATTTAAAATGTAAAAAAATATAAATGTGTATTATACAAAGTGTGTAAAAGATAATGTAAGAAAAATTTAAAAGAATTTAAAAATATAAAAAAATATAAATGTATATTATACAAAGTGTGTAAAAGGTAATGTAAGAAAAATTTAAAAAGAATTTAAAAAATATACAAAAATATAAATGAATAGGAGGGCGTCGACAACGACGATATGGTGATATCGATGAGAGGCGATGGTGGGGTGGCCGATGGAAGAGTGGTGACGGCGCGGAGTAAAATTATTTTAATAATTTGAAAATAAATACCTACACATGCGACCTACCTCCAATTAATGATCAGCATCCGTATCAGAATCAGAATCAAAATCAGAATCATAACCGATGGTATATTCTAGATATAGCAACCAATAGTTATGTTGGTGAATTCCTCGCATCCTTTCAGAACACGCTTCTCGATTCCCGCCTGGCAAACAGCAATCTCTGCAAATGGCTGCCTCTAGTTTATTCATCTCTCTAATCTGTATATACGATTGTAGATCGGAGGTCGTGGTTGGAGAATTTCTTACGCCAAGTTCGCGATTTCTTAAATATCGTAACACCGACATGTTTATTAATTTTTTATTACGTTGCTCGCACACTTTATACAGTCTTATTCACTTTATACAGTCTTATTCACTTTATATAATCTTATTCACTTTATACAGTCTTATTCACTTTATACAGTCTTAATGTTTTTTTACCGCGTGCACTATGGGCACATGTTGCACGGAAATGTTAAATATAATGGATCTTTACAATATGAACAAAAGCGTCCATCTGTTGCATTCAATGTTTCAATTACATGTTTTCGGACAGCATACATCATTTGGCTGTCTACACCTTGTAATGAAATCATGCATGATGGACATACGGCTAAAGCGCCGCCAGTCGAATAGTAAAAATATAGCGTGCAAAACTTTGTACGCCCGTTTAACGCATTAATTTCTGCAATAGATACTATTTTGTCTCTGACTTCTATAGAGATCTCACTGCAGTCACTAATGCAGTCACTGTCGGACGACAACGCGTGATCTTCGTCTTCCATTTTATATATATTATCACACTTTTTGATAGAACACTTACGTTCACTGCACTTTACTCTTATGTTCACTGCACGAAAGCTGAAGACTTTTTGACGACAGACTCTCTCTCCATAAGTTTCAGCTCCCATTCCTCTTATAATTTCGGGCATTATCTATTTTATATTATTTATAAATTCTAGCAGCCGGACATCGGCGCTGATACGTTGCAATTCGTCCTAAGGAAAAAAAAAGGGAAAGGGTTCTGAGTCCCAAGATCTCATTCTCTTCAAATACCACTATTTATATTGTTTATACTGGGCGTAGAGAAAAACTATGAAAATATCACTAATAGTTAATATATACAGTAGATGTAAAAAATATTCGTACACTAAGAATTTTTTCCCAAGATTTCGTTATTTTATTGCTTCGAAATATAAAATGTTATAATTTGTGTTTTTCTTTTTTGTTATTAAGAAAAAAAGAATTTATAATATAAACAAAAAATTATTTATTGTTACACAGAAATAAACCATTTTATATTTCGAAGCAATAAAATAACGAAATTTTGGGAAAAAATTCTTAGTGCATGAATATTTTTTTACAACCACTGTATCTTTGTTGCGGCAAGCGCCGCACTAGTGTAACCCCTTCCAGTTTTTTGAGACCTGTAATTCCTACAGCGGAAAGTAACATTCGATTTTCGATCTTAGTCGTGTCGTTGTCTGAGAGGAGAGCAAATTTAACCGTGGTTCTTTTTCTGTGTGTAATTATTCCAGTAAAAAATGGATGGTATTAATTTGTTGTATTATTGGAAGAAGAGTTTCATAGACCTTTTATTTATGATAATAGTAAAAGTGGCATTCGTTTGGAAGGTAGGTAGTGTTTTTGTGAAAAAAATTGTGCGCATGTGTATGTGTATGTGTATTTTCAATATATTATTTTATAGAGCTCCTATGATGTTGAAATTCCGGGTTTTATAAATATCGAGAATCGACGCAGAGTGCGGGCGGAGCGGTGGAACAGGCGAAATGATCTCGCGGAAGAATGGAGCGACACCCCGGAGACTCGCCAAGAAGACGAAACCAGTTCGAAATATTATGACATTTTTAACCTACGGCAGCTCTTCGGAATGGAAGACCTTTACGATGAAATACGTATTATAACGCTTATGCAATATGAAGAAAGAAGAAGAATACAGGAGGAAGAATATAGAGCATGGTTAGAGGAAATAGGCTGGCCGCACTTAAGAGCTCCAGGGGGCTGGCAGCACTCAGTAGCTCCAGGAGGTTAAGGTACATATTTCTTTTTACAATTTTCTTTTATTATTAATTATTAAGGTAAAATAAGTCTTTCTTCTGTTTCAGGAGCGGTCCCCTCTATCCCCCTGCAATCTTCATATTGCATATTTTTATATATATTATAATGGATATTTTTATATACTTTTATATTGTATACTTTTTTATTAAACTCACACATTTAAATAAATTATATTATATATTTTTAATTGTAACAAAAAAAATGCAATTATTTACACGCCTTTCCCTTGCGCTCCAATCCTTCGTGCGCTCTCGCATTAATTTTAAGTCTCGTTATTATAAGTATCGTTCTCTCTCTCTCTCTCTCTCTCTCTCTCTCTCTCTCTCTCTCTCTCTCGTATGCGTTCTTTTCGTACTATCATCGTTCTCTCTCACGCGCGGCAAGGACACACAGCAGTCGAACATCGATGCTGTTAAATTTTTTTCTT